CCGCGCGGCCTCGACCGTACTTCGTTCCGCTCCTGCAGCAGGTTCTTGGTCTTACTCCTCCTCCTCCTCCCTTAGAGGGTCCGCAGCCTGTCCGGTCACAGCCACAGCTACAGCCTGCCTCCCCTTTGCCTGCTCCTTCTCCCTACGCTGGTCCGACTGGAGGTCTTACTGAGCGTCGTGAGCCTGCGTCTCGTCCTGTGTCGCCTGTTCGTACTGAGCGCGCTAGTGGTCGCGGGTCGCGTCAGCGTCCTCCTCCTGTCCCTGGCACGCACCGGATGTCTCTGCGTCCGTCCACTGCTCCTCTGCGTGCCCCTTTGCCTTCTCCTCCTGCTTCCTCTCTTCCTACTCTTGCCGACCCGGAGTCGGACTCTCTTCGTGCTGCCAGTCCTACTGTCACGCGTCTCCTTGCTACTGCTGTCACTGACCCTTCCTTCGAGTCGTCTGCTGCGTCTGCCCTTGTCACTGAGCTTGTCGACTTTGCTGCGCGCTGTCGTCTAGACTACGCTGCTCGCCTTGTCACTGAGTCTGAGTCCGCCTGTCCTCCGTCCGTCGGGGGTGAGTGTGCCCTTGGCACGGACGTCCTTGAGGACAGGCAGGAGGAGTTCCAGTGTCTGGCCGCCGCTTCACCTCGTCTCGCGTCTGTACTGCTAGCCCCTGAGGGAGACCCGGATGCACCAGACATCCCGACTCCGCGCTCTTACGCGGAGGCGATAGAGGGTCCCTACTCCTCTCAGTGGCAGGCAGCTATGGATGCAGAGATGGCTTCCTGGAAGTCCACAGGCACCTACGTTGACGCTGTTCCCCCTCCTGGGGCGAACATCGTCAGTGGCATGTGGATTTTCAGGGTGAAGCGGCCGCCGGGTTCTCCGCCTGTCTTCAAGGCGCGTTACGTGGCTCGTGGCTTCAGTCAGCGGCAGGGGGTTGACTACTTTCAGACCTTCTCCCCCACCCCGAAGATGACCACTCTTCGGGTCCTGCTGCACGTTGCTGCTCACCGTGAACACGAGCTGCACTCTCTCGACTTCAGCACAGCTTTCTTGCAGGGCAGCCTGCACGAGGAGATCTGGCTGCGTCGCCCACCTGGCTTCACTGGGTCTTTCCCTCCTGGTACCCAGTGGAGTCTCCGGCGTCCAGTCTACGGTCTCCGCCAGGCGCCACGTGAGTGGCACGACACACTGAGGACTACGCTCGCGGCACTTGGGTTTGCTCCTTCTACTGCTGACCCGTCGCTGTTTCTGCGCACCTACACCTCTCTGCCGCCGTTCTACATCCTCGTGTACGTCGACGACTTGGTCTTTGCCACAGCTGACACTGCTGGACTCGCCTACGTGAAGTCCGAGCTGCAGAAGAGACACACGTGCACTGACCTGGGTGAACTGCGCAGCTACCTTGGCTTGCAGATCACCCGGGACAGAGCTCGCCGCACCATTACCCTAACTCAGTCACACATGGTGCAGCAGGTCCTTCAGCGCTTCGGCTTCACGTACTCCTCGCCTCAGGCCACTCCTCTGCCTACTCGCCACTCGCTCTCAGCTCTGCCTTCGGATGAGTCCGTAGAGTCGAGTGGCCCGTTTGCAGAGCTTGTTGGCTGCCTCATGTACCTGATGACCTGCACACGACCTGACCTCGCATACCCTCTTAGCATTCTCGCACGCTTTGTTGCTCCTGGGAGACACCGACCAGAGCACATGGCTGCAGCGAAGAGGGTGTTGCGCTACTTGTGCAGTACGTCGGGCATGGGGCTAGTGCTTGGAGGGCGCAGTCCAGTGGTCCTCACTGGGCACGCGGACGCTTCTTGGGCTGACGACCAGGCTACGCAGCGGTCGTCACAGGGTTACACCTTCAGCCTTGGTTCCGGCTCTGTCTCGTGGCGGGCTACCCGCTCGTCTTCTGTTCTCGGCTCCAGTTGTGAGGCTGAGATCTACGCTGGGGCTATGGCTGCACAGGAGTTACGCTGGCTCACCTACCTGTTGACCGACCTTGGAGAGCAGCCTCGTTCTCCTCCAGTCCTGTACGTAGACAACAAGGCCATGCTGGCCTTGTGTCGAGAGCAGCGATTGGAGCACAGAACGAAGCACATTGCTCTCCGCTACTTTCTTGCTCGTGAGCTACAGCAGCGTGGACAGATGCGACTTGCGTACGTGGCCTCTGAGGCCAACACTGCTGATGTCTTCACCAAGGCACTTGCGCCTTGTGATCATCAGCGTTGTTGCACGCAGTTGGGTCTTGTGCCTGTCTTGCCTCACTTGCTCTCCTCTTGACCTTGCTTGTACCTTCGCCTATATATACTCTTGCTCTTGCTTGCTTGACTCTTGTATATCTCTATATATGATCTTGCATGTGAACTGGCCTTCTGGCCTTTGAACTTGTGCTCGGAATGCGTGGTGACTTTGTGATCCACCCTGAGCTTTGCTTTGCTTTGCTTGACTGGTCTTGTGACCCCTTGTTCTCCCCCACTTTGCCTATGGGGGTGTGTCAGAACATATAGCTTACTTGTTTCTGTAGGCTATAGTGGGGTATCCCATAGGGGGTACAACACAATTAGGGTTTCCTATTTGTATTCACTTCACTTCATAGTCATTCATTCTCGTTCTTTGATTTCACAGGATGTCGTCGGTACGTTCATCGTGGATTGTTGACGGGCGGAGTCACGTTCCGCTGTGAGGGTCGCGATTTCAAGCGCCGAATCCTCCAGTTGACGTACGAGACGATCAAGTTGCTCCTGCGTCAATGTGGCGAGCGTGAAATCGGCCATGGCGGGGGTGTCGGGCAAGCTCAGCGAGAGCCTCGGTCGTGGCCGTGCGTGCTTGCGAGAGAGCACTACGAGCGGCGGTGCTGTATCGCTGAGAGACGTCTACCCCCCCCAAAAATTGAGATAGTGGGGAAGTGAAGGTGTGGATGCGGTCCGAGATGGGATCGTAGGCTCTGAATACCAAGTGTTACGAGTGCAATTGAGTGAACGAGCGAGAATTGCACTATCGAAACAAGAGTATAATGAGCCAAGGTATGAGCGAAGAATATATAGCGAAACTACAGTGGTAACGGTAATGGTCGCGCGACGAGCTTGGGACTGAGGTTGGGAACGTGTCGAAGCGTAGGCCCGGAGCGCGGGTTACCAGCCGAGCCGTGAGGTCGGGATGCGATGTGCGAAAATGGCGGGATGATGAATGATGCGATGGTCGCGAGTGGTAACGGTGCTGACTGAGGTGCTACAGTGATGTACGCGTTGAGCAGAGATGCGAAGTAAGGAAAAGGGAATTTCCTTACAGTTAGAAAACATATATTTTTATATATACGTATAATCGCATTTAGTGTAGACTTAGTATAGTAATACCCTTTGTGTTGGTGGTGCATATTCTTGCTATGCACACATCAATATAGTTACGGAAAATCTTACATTCCTGCTTATATGTATTCTCTTCCAGGAAACAACGATTACCATGGCGGCTAAATAAAATCTCCATGGGGGATACTAATTATCAGGGTTTCAAAACGACAACACTGCTACAGTTAAGTACCTAAAAATGAAAAGTAAGCCCTGGCCTGGGCGCCATCTTAGATATTTCCCAATTGTCAAACTTCATCTTGCTCACAATGGTACCTAGATTCTTGAACGATTTTAAATTGCAATTGATTACACTTGCCCGTAAGTGTTCAGGCTTCATACAAATTCCTTGCCTGTAAAGTGGATGGAGCTAAGACTCACACGTGGCGGCATCCTGTGGGCTCGGCGGCAACACCAACACGCGGCTCGCTGCTCGCTGCTTGCTGCTCGCAGCTGCCTGAACGGAACAGCTTCTTCTGTGGCTGGCTATCCCTTGGCCCTCGCTTTAGCCACCGACCGACTACTGCCACAGCTTCTTCTATTTTGGCTTCTTGCTCTTCCAACGTAGTTTTTGCGGCGCCGTGCATTTTATCCCTTCCAGCCTACAAAAGCCGCCCATACCGTCGGTACGGCGCGCGCTCGGGGCTAGCCACCCTTATGAGCCGTGAAGGCCGCCGTCCATCCCCTTGCAGCCGCAACGAATCAGATCGCAAGAAAGCAGCCGCGCCGCGCTCAAGATCGAACCTTGCCGTGCCCTAACCTCACCTTGCTCAGAGCTCAACGTAGCCCTCGGCGCGCAGCGCCACTGATCACTCTGCTTGTATTTCAATGGCGGCTTCAAGCCATTGTGACATAGTATTTTGTGGCGCTCTTGAGATTATATTCTTGTACGCAACGCTTACCACGAGGTTAACTAATTGTCGCGGCACCGAATCGCCTGAGGTTGGAAGTGAGATACCTTTTTCAACCTCTCTCCGTCGTCTCAAGAACCAAAATTCCAGGAACTTGGTCTCTAAGAAATCGACCCGTGTCGCGATCAGCCATGGCGTCAGCCCGCGCAGCGATTCTCCTCTGCTCGCTCGTGCTCCTCGCGCCGCGTGAGTCACTCACTCTCTCCTCGTGCTTCTCGCTGTAACACCTGCGGGCTCACAAGAAGGGTTGGAAGACATCCGCTGCGCGTCTACAACACCCCCGTTTTAAACCCTGTGGGCTTTACACTCGCCTTTCGCTTTACCCACGTTTCTTGATTCTCTCTGCAACTTATTCCCAACTCCGCTTCCTTCCCCTCCCCTTTCCCCCCTCTCCTTCAATCCAACCTACACGCCGTTTTCTCGGCCCCAATCATCCCCTTTCCGCGCCGCCTCTGCTGCTGACGGCGCGACAACGCCCGCATGGCACGTGGCACGGCGGCCATGAACGTCGCCGCTTCTGCTGCTGACCTGTCGTTCATGACGAACGCGCCGCACGCGCCCTGCATGTCGCACACGTGGCGTGTGCCTGCTGTTGACGTGTGCTGCCAGTCCTGCTGCAAGCCCAGGCAAGCACCCTGCCAAGAGCCGTTTTTCCAACGACTGCTAAGGACCTTCAAGCAAATGCAGTAGAGACTGGCTGCAGCAAGTTGACTCTTTGACTGCATCACCTGTCGCTTCCTCCTCGCCCCGACCGTTGACTGATGATGTCTCTCTCTTTTTTTCCCCTCCCTCCTCCCCTCCCTCCTCCCTCCCTCCTCCTCCCCTCCCTCCTCCCTCCCTCCTCCCCTCCCTCCTCCCCTTCCTCCTCGCGCCCCTCTCCACAGGCGAAGGCGGTGCTGGTGGGGTACGGTCCCCTGCCGTGGTCCTTCTACGTCCGCCAGTCGTGGCGGCAGCCTGTCATCAGGCCGGGTGATGTGCTCGGTGAGTCAACACTAATCAACGCCAGTCAACACCCAGTCAAGCCAAGCGAATTTGGAGCAAGCGCCTTGCGAGCAGGGAGATGTCATGGAGAGCGGGAACCTATGATGTGCTGATAGGCTTGTGTACAGCCTGGGTATTTTACTCCACTTGCTCCTTGTTCAGCCTGCGCTCTCTCTTGGCTAGACTCCCCTGTGGTTAACCAAATCGTCCTCACTCCCTCCTGCTCTCCCTCCCTCCCCATATTCCCCTCACCTGCACTGTGGCATGCACTCTCCCTCTCTCCCCCTCTCACCCGCACACACCTCTCCACACACACCACACGGCTCGCAGTGTTCAAGTGGGGCTTCTGGCCGCACGGCGTGCGCAAGCTGGCGAGTGGCACGGCGTATGACAACTGCGACTTCAGCGGCAGCACCAAGGTCGCTCCCATTCGTTTCTTCGGTTATGCCAGGTACCACAACCCCCAGAAGCCCCACTTAAACCCCCTGCTCGCTCCCTCTTCCTCTCCCATCCCATCCGACCGTATCCCAAAGTTGCCTTCAGCGGCAGCTTCAAGGTCACTGCCATTCGCTTCGCTGGCTACACTACACCAGGTACTACTCTTTCGCTGCCCTGCTCCCTCGATCTTCCTTCCCCATCCGGCCGCAATGTCACAGGTGCACTCAAGCGAAAATTTTGTGCAGGCGTGCTCCCGAAGTCACAGGTGCCCTCAGCACCAGCTGAGTTTAATGGACTCCCAATGTCACAAGCTCAGCGCCAGCTCCAAGTTCCGGTGTTTGCGCTTCTTTAGATTTGTCAGGTTACCCTCCATTTTTCCTGTTCTCTCGATCTTCCTCACTCCTTCTTTCGCCCCCTTCCCCCCGGCGTGTTCTCTCGCCCTTTCCTGCACTTGCTCTTGTTTCAACTTCCGGCAGCTCGCAAGCACTTGCTTGGTTGGTGCGTGCATGCTTTCTTTCCCATCGCCTGCCGCCATCACCTGCTCCCTAATTCTCCGTCGCCACTGCTTTTGAGTCGACTCAAAAGCATCGCCTGCCTCCTTCACCCGCTCCTTTTTCTCCCCTCTCCGTCGTCTCTGTCTCCTCCATCCCTGCTTCCCCCCTCTGCAGGTACACAGTCCAGGCAGGTGATGCAGCCACCGGGCTCTATTTCGCATGCCCCGTGCCCAGCCACTGCGGGCCGGGCGGCATGAAGGTGCAGATCAGCGTCACGCCGCTGTAGAGTGCCGGTCAACGTCACGCCGCTGCAGGCGGGAAGGACAGCACATCATCTTAGGCAGCTCAAAGGCACACCATGACTTCCGACTACGAGCTGTCACCTTTCAAGGCTCAATCAACAGATGCTGCTGCACTCCACCCGTGCCTGCCACTTTTCTTCTCCGCTCCTCCCCCCGCCACCCGCCCCCCGCCACCCTCCACAGTGCAGTCCTCTCACATGCCCTTTGTCCCTGGTCTTTAACGGCCCTTCCTGTTAAATAAGCGCCGTTTGTCTTTCTCGCCTGCTCCACTGCACAGCCAGCACTGCTCTCCTTGAGGCAGTTTTCTCGCTGCCTGCAATGGCTTTTTTGGTGGAATCTCAATCGCTGCTTCGAGTAGCTAGTGCAGAGTGAATAAGGCTCCTGCAGGAGCAGAGGCATGGTCGAACCATCCTGCTTTTCTTGCTTGTCAATAGTTCAGTGTACCTGTACCTGCAGTGCTGAGCCCGTTGCAACAGTGTTGTACGGTATGCCTGGAACTTTTTTTTTTTCACATTTCACTCATCTGTATGCCAACCAAGACCAGTGCAGCCTGTTTAGAAGTGTGCAACAAACAATTCTGAACTAGAAAAATGCGAAAAGTGGTGAATAGATGAAAAAATATTTCTCCTGCCACTGGTTATGGGCACGCAGTAGTACATCCAGCCCCGGAAAGGAGAGCAAGTGATATTCAGCAGTTTTGACGATGCCTATTCCACAAATCGGCACTGTTAAAAAATATAGACGGTTGTGCGAGGAAACAGTGAGTGAACTAGGTAATGTAGTGCACAAGCGCTATCAAACATCGCAAATTGAAGATCTCTAGCTTGTGCAATTACTTGTTGCTGCGCATCAGCAACTCAGCATGTGGGGGGCTATGAGCATTAACAACCCACGTCCATGTGCTTGTAAAGGGTGACTTTTGGGCCAACCAGCGTGTGGCTGTGAAGTTTTGCATTTGTAAACACATTATACTGTCCGTGATTCATCACCCCGTTACAGTCACAGTCAACTGTGCGATTTTCCCTGTCAGCAGCAGCCCGACCGTCCCCAGCCGGCTCCCACCAGTTGGCCATACTCGTTACAGTCACACCCATTACAGCCACAGCCAACCATGGTCCTTGAGGTACTGCAGAGCCATGGTGCAGGTGACAGCAGATGCCAGCAGCTGTCTCATCCGCTACAGTCACACCCGTTACAGCCAGCCGTTGTCCTTGAGGTACTGCAGAGCCATGGTGCAGGTGACCACGGAGGGCAGCAGCATGTCTCCACTCAGCGCCATGCCCTGCAGGTCCCCCACCGGCACCCGGTGCACCTCTATGAACTCCTCTAGATCCCTTGGGAGAGGGTCGGAGTCGTCCTGTGGAGTGGAGAACGGGGAATGGGGGAAGCGACAAGGAAGAGATAAGGAGTGAGTGAGTGCAGGGACCCCACTAGCACGTGGTGAACCACTATGAACCCCTCTAGATCCCGTGGAGAGGGTCGGGGTCGTCCTGTGGAGGGAAAACGGAGTGAGGGAAGAAGCAAGGGAACAACATAGTAAAAGCCAGTGCCACCCTCTCAAAGGGGAAGGAAGAGCTTTGACCTTTGAGGCGCCCCTAAAAGAGGCTCAACACAACCTTGTTAGGTCGTCGAGACCTTGTGGGATACAGGAAGGGAGAGAAGGGATGGGAGAGGGGAGGGAGGGGCAAAGTGGGGATGCGAAGGGGTCATGAGGGATGAGATGAGGGCTATGGAAGGAGGGTAGTGGCGGAGGGAAGCAGAGAGACAGACAGCATCCAGGAGGAGTTTTTATTACACCTGATGACATTGAGATTCAGGTGCAGTGGAGGTTGACGTGAGGGGGGTTGAAAGGGGGCAGATTGACGGGGGGGGTTGAAGGGGGAAGGTTGACAAGAGGGGTTGAAAGGGGGGGAGGCTGACTGACCTGAGGGTCAATGACGAGGAAGGGAGTGAAGCGGTTCTTGCACCACTTGACCTGCCACGCAGCAAGGAAGAGCGATGAAAAATGTTACTTTTCAATGTGTTTCAGATCAGCACTTGACCTGCCACGCAGCAAGGGAAGGAGACGCAGCAAGCTTCTTCTCAAAACAACGGGGGAAAAAAACATTAGACCTGGTAGGCAGTAGTGACAAGGCACACAGGTTCACCTCCGAGGTCATCGCGCCTGTGTTTGGCCGAAAGGGCAAGGAGCGCACACTGAGTGGAGCAGGAAGAAACGGATGAGCGTGGAAAGGCGGGACGACTCACCTCAAGCAGACCAGGGTGGTCGTCCCCCACGAGCTTGATGAGCTGCCCTCCACACAGCTTCGCCTGGTGCATGCAGTGAGGTGGACAGGCATGGGGCGCGATGTGATGAGAATATAAGAGAGCTCACACTTGTGAGTGGTGAACAGCTGAGCTGATCCTGATTGCAGTTCTGATCCCACCATTTCGGATGCACTTACGGCCACAGCGCATCTGGGAACTGCACCATGTGCCTCATGTCCTCTCATCAATCCCCCTCATGAATTCACATCGCTCGTCTCTTCCGAGATCAACTGTGTTGGTGCTGCTTTTGAGAATTCTCCAATGCTGCACCTTGTGGTGCATGTCTCTTCTTCAGCCCCTCTCATGAATCCGCACACTCTTGCATCTCTTTCGAGATCACCCCCATCGTTGCTCGTCTCTTTCCAAAGCACAGCTCTTCTATATCAGACAGTCCTAATTTCAGTCTTCCTATACTTCTTTCTCGTAAATAATCGAAACAAATCTATCGCTTCCCATTGCTCACCTCTTCAGACAGCTCTCTGCGAGCACAGTCCTCCAGGGACGTGTGGTTGTCCGTGTACCCCCCACACGGCACTGTGTACACCAGCGCGTTCGCTCCCTGCGGGCCACGCAGGGGTGAGGTAGAGGGAGAGGTGGAGGTCAGGAGAGGCAGCAAGTTGTGAGACATTTCAAAACACATGTGCAGATCTCCAGAGCAGGCAGGCACAAGGAGGAGAGGGAAGGAGAGAAAAAGAGATGGAAGGTGAGGGAAGGTGAGGGAAGGAGAGGGAAGGAGAGGGAAGGAGAGGGAATGAGAGGGAGGGAGAGGGAAGGAGAGGGAGGGAGAGGGAGGGAGAGGGAGGGAGTGGGAGGGAGAGGGAGGGAGTGGGAGGGAGACGGAGGGAGAGGGGGGAAATGGGAGGGGAGACGGGCAAAAGCAGTCAGATGCATGCCAGTGAGGGACAGGTGGAGGGAGAGGACGAAATGAAGGGGGAGGAAGGCGGGTGGAGGAAGGGGAGGAAATGGAGGGAGAGAGAGAGACAGGGAGAATCAAAAAGACAAAGGGAGGGAGAGAAAGGCACTGTGTATTCCAAAGATTTCGCTCCCTGTGGGCTTGTGGCCTATGCAGGTGAGGGAGAGGGAGAGAAAGGGGCAGAGAAGGAGGGAGGAGGGAGATTTAGGAGGATGGAGAGGGGGGGAGAGGGTGTGTGGGAGGAGAGGGAAGTACCTGATTCGTTTAATACCTCGTCCTTTCTGTTCCTGCCTGTGCATATTCCTTCAACAGAGTAACCGTCTGGGGCTTTGAATGGAACGGCAGAACGCAGACGAAGTGGCACGACATAGGTTTTAGAGGCCACCACATCATATTCAACTGCCTGCTGCGGCCAACCACACCTCCATCCACCCGCTGCTCCCCCTGCCCCCACCTACAAGCTCCATCTCACCATGCCTGTCCCACTGCCTTGCACCACCCTTTAACCAGCGGCTTACAGCACTCTTCCCGATGTTCCTCCACGTACCTGTGCGTATTCCTTCAGTAAAGTAACAGTCTGGGTCTTGGAATGGAAGGGCAGCACGCACACAAAGTGGCACGACTTGGTCTTAGCCGCCACCACATCGTATTCCACCACCTGCTGCGGCCACAGCTCCGCCCGCTGCTCCCCCTGCCCCGGCTCCAACCCGTACCCTATCCACCCGCCCGAGTGCCCGCTACTGTTCGCTGGTCGCTCCTCTATCACCCCGAACTCCTCCGCTAGCAGACAATCGCCGCCGACCGGGTGCTCGTCCGATGCTGGTCGGGTCATGCTGGCTGGAAGGGTTTGACCGTTGGGAAGAGGCTGGGGGGGATGCTGCTAGGGGATAGGAAGGGGGAGGGGGATAGAGGAGGGGAAGAAAAGCGGGAGAGGAGGAAAGGGGGGGGAGGGAGGGGGGGGGGGGGAGGTGACGAGGACAGAGAAAAGAGAGGGAGGGGAAAGGGAGAGGAGGGATAGATGATGGGGAGAGGGAATGAGTAGGGGAGAGGACCGGACAGGGGGACGATGAGGAAGAGCATGAGGCGAGGCATGAAATGAGTCGTGGGGTGGTGCGAGATGAGGCATGTGATGAGGAACGGGATGAGCATGGGATGAGGCACAGGATAAGGCACGTGATGGGCCCTGGAATGAGGCATGGGATGTGACATGGGATGAGGCATGGGAACAGAGGATGAGGCACGGGATGAGGCACGGGATGGGGCATGGGATGAGGCATGGGATGAGGCATGGGATGAGGTACGGGATGAGGCACGGGATGAGGCATGGGATGCGGCTCGGGATGCGGCTCAGAACCGGGAAAGAGTCTGAAATTGAGAACAGTATAGTAAGAGCCACACTCTGCGTCAATTAAGTCAACCAGTGCAGGAACGTCGCTGGTGTTCCAAAGGCAAAGCCAACGTGGATGACTGGTGGGTTGGCTGGAGTTGACAACTTTCTGCTGCATGATTTCACACGCTAGTAGCAGAACTCAAAACGTGTTTCCATCTTGGAGAAGAGAGCCATGTTTCATTACAAACGAACACACTGCAGCGTGCAACGTGTGACAGATGGCTGACAGAGGAAGTGCCACGCACGTGAGCAAAGAGCTTACCTCGACCACTCGGTTGAAGACATTCAGGTAGCGTGAGAACTTCAGCTCCTCCTGCATGGACAGTTACACAGAGTCAGGCGTACAGATTACAGCCGTATGAGGTAGGCGCATG